ACAATAAAATCATTTAGCTAAAAAGAATTCAAAACTATGTTTGTCCAAAGAAAAAATAGCGGTTTTGATACAGTCCTTAGTTTCTGTATTAGAACAGATTCAAAACAGTTACCAGAAACCTAGTCTTGAAACATTCTATCAACCAATTTATCTGTAGTTTTGCTCAATTTAACTAATTTTCACTTGAGATCAAAGATGTTCTATATGAAAAGAATAGAGGGGAAGGTGGAAGATTTTTGCCCAGGATTACGTATATTCTATGTAAGCTGTAGAACTGTGAATATGTTCTAGCTAAAGGAATTTTAGATAATGTTAATGATCGTGTTTCGCTACATCTTTAGACTGCTATCGGTCTTCGTATTGAGAATGTTTTAGATATAAGATACGAATTCTGTGTTTATTTTGAATAAATTTCGATAGGAACAAGATTCAGACCTACAGATTTCACTAATTAAAAAGATAACATCGGTTGGTTTTCTAGAAAACTTATCTCATTGTATTTCAACTTATGCTGAGATTATTCGATAGAAAAAATCGTCCTATTTCGTTCCATTCAAAGTTGACATCTCTGACATGTTATCTTTACAAGTTATAAAAGTTTTCCAAGCATTTCAATTTCGGCCCAATGATCTTGGAATACTCCAAAAGAGGCCAAGACATGAGTAATTTATCATACTGAGTATAGAACAATTGCATAGATCAAAAGAGAACAATCTTTTTCTATCTCGAATGATCACAGCATAAATTGAAATACAAATAATGAAATCCGTAGGTCTCTATCTTGCTCCTATCCAAAAATTATTCAAAAACTGAATTGTTTTATAAATTTAGGAATGTTCTCAACCATTTTTAACTGGTTCATTTTATGAACATGATCATCAACCATTATGTGAATTACATTATCATCAACGACGTGGTTCACTTTGTTCATCTTGTCAAAAACCAATAGGGTTTGTTTTTCTAAAATTTTCTTCGGTATTCTTTAAAATTTTCTATTATTTTTCTAGTGGTCGTTGTATAACAGCAATGGGTAAAAAATATCATGTTGAACATTTTATTTGTTCATATTGTACACGACAATTACAAAATGGTACATTTAAAGAATATCAAAATAAACCTTATTGTCATCCTTGTTTTGTAAAATTATTTGCTTGAACAGTCTTTCAATATAGATAGTGTGTTCAAATAAACAAAATAGTCTGAGTATGATTTAGAAATTACAGGTTTTCTTTTTTCAGATCAAAAAAGAAAGAAAGAATTTTTTCATCATCATCAAAAAATGCAACCAATGATAATTATTCTTAAAGAAGGTACTGATTCAGCACAAGGAAAATCACAAATATTATCAAATATAAGTGCATGTCAAGCTGTTGCTGAAGCTATTCGTACAACATTAGGTCCACGTGGTATGGATAAATTAATTGTTGATGATCGTGGTAAAGCAACAATTTCAAATGATGGTGCAACAATTCTTAAATTACTTGAAATTGTTCATCCAGCAGCACGTACACTTGTTGATATAGCTAAATCACAAGATGCAGAAGTTGGGGATGGTACAACATCAGTTGTTTTATTAACAGGTGAAATATTAAAAAATGCTAGAACATTTATTGAAGATGGTATGCATCCAACTATTATTATTCGTGCTATACGTAAAGCAACAGCATTAGCAACAAAAAAAGTTAAAGAAATCGCTGTTAATATTAAATCGGATGATGTCAAGTAAGGATGAAGTCATTTTTTTTTATTTGTGAAAAACTATCTAAAACGAGTGTTGAAGTATATAGGGTAGAAAGGTGATTATAATATTTTGACTAGAGAAAGTGGTAAATGTAGGTTTGTAGAAGAAATCTACATATAACAGTATTTATAGTTTCATGTTTGACAATCTGAAATATGTATCCTAAGTCAACAGAATTCTAGAGATTTCTTTGCACTTCAAAATGATATACAGAATGGTCTTGTGAGAATATATTTAGTAATACTTTACTGAAACATAATTATGTAAATTTGCGTATGTTATATATAGCTGTTGTTTGTAAGAGTATTGTTTTTATTTTGATTTCTTGAAGAAATTGTATAAAGAGTTTGATAAACATACACAGAACATTTTTTTAAAAGTTCCAGGAACAAGAAGAAAATCTCAAAAATCAATTGATACAGTTTTCAGTTATTTCAAAAGAGCAAAGAAATCTAGAGGATTCTGTCTACTTGAGATACATATTTCAGATTACTAAACATGAAACTATAAATTCTGCTTCAAGTACCATTATGAAAACTATGCAGATATGTCTTGTTTCAAACCTTTAGATATCACATCATAACTTGAATATAAAGAAAAGTGTCAAGGATTATGCAAATAAACAGTATACACATTATTAGGTTAGATTCTCGCTTGACTCTAAATGATTTAGACTCTAGTATAAGAGAACCTCCTTAAATAACATAAAATTCATAGTTTTTACAATTATATTTTCTCCTACGGTATGCAACAGAACTTTATAATATATACCTTTGGATACAGGAAGTCTTCCTTTATAAACCCACATATATTCCGTTCTTTGGTCCAAAGTCTATTTGTATTTTATAACCTCTTTTGAAGCCTCCACAAACTGTAACAGGTGTTATTGATATACGATCAATAACGTCTCATTATAATACAGGGTAGTCCAAAAGTCACTTTATTGAGAAAATTTTGACTAAATGGCCTCATTTTCTCATCATTGATAAATGTGTGTTTAAAGTTCATATTCATAAAAAAAGCATTTGACAAAAACTATTTTGAAGTATTATTTTCAAAGTTTAAAATAAATTAGAAATGACACTGAAATAGTCATCACAAGAAAATTTTCTCTGAACTACATACGATCACACAGAATACATTGACAACTTTTTAAATAAACTCTTACTACTAAGGAATAAAACTTCCAGGACCCAATATGTAATAAAGCAAAGCTTTGGTATGAAAATATGAACTACTTTCTTATTGCATTTTGGGACGATGGTGAAGAAATATACCCCAAAATAAATAGAATCTCTATGTGATTGGCAAGAGTTGCTACATTATGTTTTACACATTCATCTTCCAGGAATTATAGTAATGGTTTTTTATTATTTTATATTTTTAGAGAACAACGAGCTTTACTTGAAAAATGTGCTCAAACAACATTAAGTTCTAAATTAATTGCACGACAAAGAGAATTTTTTGCAAAAATGGTTGTTGACACTGTACTCATGTTAGGCGAATTACTTCCATTAAATATGTACGTTTAAAATTTACTTTCAAACGATTTGATTTATTTGTTTTTCTTAGGATTGGGATTAAAAAAGTAACAGGTGGCTCACTTGAGGTAGAGGATTTCATTGAATAATATAAAACATTATCTAAATTCTTTATTTATTTAGGAATCACGTCTTGTCGCTGGTGTTGCATTTAAAAAAACATTTTCTTATGCTGGTTTTGAAATGCAACATAAGAAATTTTTAAAACCAAAAATAGCTTTACTTAATATTGAACTTGAACTTAAAGCTGAACGTGACAATGCTGAAATTCGTCTTGATAATGTTGCTGTAAGATTTCTTTTTTGTTTTTCAATATTTTTGATTTAAAATATTTCCTATAGGAATATCAAAAAATTGTTGATGCTGAATGGTCAATTCTTTATGATAAACTTGAAAAACTTCATGCAGCAGGTGTTAGAGTTGTTCTTTCAAAATTACCGATTGGTGATGTGGCAACACAATATTTTGCTGATCGGTAAATAATTTTTCTTGAATAATTTTCTTTAAAAAAAAAAGAAAATTTCTTTTTTTAAAGCGATATGTTTTGTGCTGGTCGTGTACAAGAAGATGATCTTAAACGTACACAAAAAGCATGTGGTGGTGCAATAATAACAACAGTTGAAAATCTTAATGATCAATCTCAACAAGTTTTGGGTACATGTGAAGTTTTCGAAGAAAGTCAAATTGGTTCTGAACGTTATAATTTTTTTACTGGTTGCCCAAAAGCTAAAACAGCAACAATGATTTTACGTGGTGGTGCTGAACAGTTTATTGATGAAGTTGAACGTTCATTACATGATGCTATTATGATTGTACGACGTGCTGTTAAAAATGATTCAATTGTTGCTGGTGGTGGTGCAATTGAAATGGCATTAAGTCGTACTTTACGTGATTATAGTCGAACTGTACCTGGTAAAGAACAATTAATTATTGCTGCATATGCTAAAGCCTTTGAAGTTATACCAAGACAATTATGTGAGAATGCTGGATTTGATGCAACTAATATTTTAAATAAACTTCGACAAAAACATGCTGAAAGTAATAAAGAAAAATGTTTTGACTTGATTTGTATTATGAGATTTTTTTCGTTTTATAGATCATATTTGGTTTGGTGTCGACATCATGCGTGAAGATGTTAGTGATAATTTTACTGCAGCTGTTTGGGAACCGGCTGTTGTTAAAATTAATGCAATAACCGCAGCAAGTGAAGCGGCTTGTTTAATTTTAAGCGTTGATGAAACAATAAAAGTACCAAAGTCATCGGGAGAACCATCGAACGCTGCCAAAGCAATGAATATGGCATAAATATAAATCAAAGAATGACGATGACTCTTGTTGTTATTCTTGTTATTATTGTTATGCGATCTATTAGTCATTTGGTTTTCTTTTTCTAGGCAACTGTGTACTGTGTGCTTTCTTTCTCCCAACTCTTTTTTTCGAACTACAGTTGACACACAACACATAAAACAAAAACGCATGAGCGTCTAATGTTTTTTTTATTAACAAAAAAATATAACCGATCAAAAAACCAGCTTTCTCAAAAATTCGTAATTTTCTTTGAATTCTAAGGGAGATTTATGGATGACGTCAAGTTTTTTCTTTTTACTTTATCACAAGACAAATACACTTATTCATTTGTTTGCTTAAGAATTCAAGGACATATTATATTAAAAAAAAACAAATCTATCTTACAAACTTTTATAGAATATATTGTAGTTATGTCAATATGTCTGACAAATACAAATGAATACGAATTGACATGCTGTTCAAAGAACCATAATGTTCCATTTGAAGTTAGTTATTTATTTATTTTCAAAAGATTATAACTTATGTTTTACCTAATTTAGATTAATGCTGCATCATGTTTAGCGATATCTGATACTTGTTTACTTCTACTAAATAGTGGTACTGATCGACTCCTTCTATTTGATCTCACGATATCAACATCAAAACAATATGATATTATTTGGCCTAGCAATACTTATGGAATCGTTCGAGATATCTGTTGGTCAAAATATATAAATTCATTTTTAATATTAGGTGATGATGTAGTATGTTCGTATTCTTCTGCATCTAATCAATTAATAATTCAATTTAATTCGCCCTCTTTGCATGATCGTTTTTGGTCATTAGCTGTGCTTGGTTATGATACATATATTCTTTGTCGGCATGATGCTCTCTATCGTTACTGTTTACCATCATGGACATTATCTCGATCTTGGTCACGTACAGATCTAATTGATATATATAATACAGATAAATTTATCCAACTAATTCGAGCACATCCATTGATGGGTACCATTGCATTACTTATACGATTAAAACATCATCATAAATGGCGTATTGATTTATTTGATCGACGAATGCAAAAACTTTATTCAGGAGATTCTGTACGTATGGCCTCAGAATATCCATTTCTTATGCTTCAGCCACGTGAGCAACATGGACAATGGACATTGATGAATGAGAATTATATTTGGATAATTAATTCAAATGCTTGTTTTATTGAGCGTTATCCTCGAAAACGAAAACAAGAATTAGATCAATAAATGTCTGTGTTTGATAAAATCAAAACAGTTTTTTGTTCCTGGTAATCATTTTTTGTCAGATTTGTAATTTCTTGTCTATATGAACGTAATTTCACTTTTATATATAGAATCATTAAAAAAAATAAGTATATTTCACGTTGATTTTATTTTTTAAATACTCATAAATGACATTCTTGTTTTTTTCAACTTTTTTTTTGAATAAATATTATTCATAAATAGACATGTTTCATTCAATACACTTAATAATGAAAGGAAGAAAAGAAATTTATAACCTTATGGTGCAAAATCTTGTCTTTGTTATTAATATATATATCGAAGGCCATAAATAATAGTTTGACTTTATATAAATAGATTCCTCTAAATCGATTAACGTAGAGTATGGAGTAGAAACCGTAGGGTTCATTCCGGCCCCGGCCTCGATCGAGTTGAAGACTATGACCAACCCAACGATTCATATTATAAAGGCAAACAAAAGATTATTGTCGTGATTGTCTAAGAAATGTGTAGAATGTGTTATTAGTAGAATACAAATAATCGATAAAAAGTATTTTAAATCTTCAGAGCAACTTGAAGATTCAAATTAAAAATTTCGTTTGATTCGGATTTGTGTTCCAAAATTTGTTGACCCAATGATCTCTAACATAGAGTGACTTACAGAAAAAAAACTTTTCAACTATATACTACAGCTGTTTTAATATAATAAAAGCTCCCAGACAGTTTACTCTTTAATTTGAAAGCCTATTATCTTATCTATAAATATATTACTGAATCCTTGAAATTTGTTTCTCTTTATATGTTACATTTGAAAAGATTACCATGCTATAAAATATTAAGGAAAATGTCTCTTTAATGAATGATATTTTGAAGATTCCTAGTTTGTATTTAAATATTTATTTATTGCAGACTGACAAAATCTGCTAAAATATTATATGAGTATTGAATATTTTATAAAAAATATCTTAATTTTGAGAAAAAATGTAGAACAATAATAAAAATAGAAACATGAACAAATGTTGAGTAAAGATTTATGATTCTAAGTTATATTCATATTTTTTCTTTTCCAGTATTAATAATTCTCATCATCAATGAAACCTTTGATAAGACTAGCAAGAAAACAATCATAGATGAATAGTATCATATTAAAATGTGAAAGGAAACTGTTACTTTTTTTCTTTATTCATTTAGACATAAAGTATACCTATATTTCATAAGATATAAAAAACAATAACGGTAACATTAGTAGAAAATAGAAGAACAATGAACTTGTCCTTCATTCAGTACGAACGAATGACAAATGTTCTATCGATGTCTAAGAGAAAAGAGAAGAAAAATAAGAACACTATTTTTATAGTGGTAATGAATCGATTGTGAAAGGTTCGTACTGTTGTCAATGGCTAAGGAAAAAAGTTAATTGCCGATCAATTCTATGAGTGTCTAGAAGAGTATGGCACAAAACTGAGCCGACTTTTACCGTTAATTTAATACACAAAAGAAAAAGGAAAAAGGAAAAAAAAGCATGCTAAACTCTCTTTCTTCTGTTGTATTTTTTACATTCCATATGTTTGTTGTTGTTCCCTTTCGCTCCCAATTTTATGTAATTCTTTATATCGCTCACACACATATATATATATGCACAAATATATAAAACATGAGTAACTTCTCTTCGCTCTTCTCAAACGTCTGAGAGTCGAATAATAAAGAAAAAAATGAGAATAACTGGTGCAAACACTACGCACGTGTAAGCTTCTCCTTTAGTTGCATACACATCTATATTCACTTTCTTTTCTTTCTTTCTTTCTTTCTTTCTTCTCTTACATCTTCTTTTTTTGTTTGACACGCACACTGTTTCGTGGCTTTTGTGTGTCGTTGTATCGACGTCTTTTTTTTCTTCTCCTGGTTCTCGAGCACACATACACATACGCAAATCATTTGTATTTTTATGCCCTCATCTCTCTCTCGCTTTCCTCATTGCTTGTTGGCGTCGTCTCGCGTTTTTCTTCTTCTTTCTCTCTCGTGTTTGTGTGTGTGTGTGTTTGCATGGCTTGTGCCCACGTTTTTCTTCTTTTTCTTCTCTTTTTTTCTTCTTCTACAATGCCAACATCATGAGCGCCGCACGACCGATCGACAGTCGACAACTACATGCTTTACGCAGCTGAAAGAATCGAATGGCAGCAGTGGTAATAGCAGCAGCAAAAGTAGAAATAACAACAACGTCAACAATTTTTTATTCAATCTTCAATACAATATAGTTTGATTACGTTTTGTTTTCTGTGTCTGTGTATATGTTTTTTTCTCTTTCTCCTTAACCAACTTCATTTATTCATCTATCGTTATTATTATCATTTGATATCTTTGAAAAAAGAAAAGAAAATCGTTTCGAAATAATATTATTTATATATTTATTTATATACATATACATATAAAATAGTCATAAACGATGATGAATATTGAAACATTGCTACAAGCTGCACAAATTTTGGAAAGTCAACAATCAATACCACCCAAAAAACGGCTAGTCAGAGGTGAGTATGACTCACTTAGTCTCAGTCTTTTTTTCTTCTCTCGTGTTAGAAGGATCATAAGACATATAGAGAATCCCACGTGTATAATGAATGAATGAATCATGCACGTGGCTAACAATCAATTTATGTAAACATATTTAGATAGAAAAAATAGCTATAAAACATATTTTTTTACATAACGTCTTTTTATGTATTAAATAAAATTTAAATAAAAGAAAAAGAGATTTTCTTTGATTATTTTAAATTTGAATAAAAAATGTCCTTGTTTTCCCATTTCGTTAAGGTTGATTGAGCCAGTTAGCTCATATTTCTCTTGAAGAGCCATATGTTTATATGTATATTTTGTTTTCGTGATGACACACTCGATCGATCATACGACTATAGTCGCCGTCATTTATAGACGTAGCATAAAGTAGCGGTAATAGTAAAAGCAGGAAAAATTCGCTCATGTGTGACGCGCGTCGATACAAGCATTCAATCCAATCATTTTTTCTTCTCGTCGATCACTTTTTTATGATATAAGAGGACTCTATTTTTTGCTTTCGTTTTCTGGTCTTACAATATCAATAGATATGCAATCTGAATTGGTATCATTCCAAAGTGAGTATTTAGTTTTACAATTAAATTTTTTAGTTTTTATTTCAATGAAAGATATATCTATTGATATTGAGAAAAAAACTATAAACATGTCTTTTTTTTTAATGCATTCCGAAATAATAATATAAAATAGATATCCTATTGTACGTATATAAATCTTCCATTGAGACGAGAAGATATATAAATGCATGTGCGTGTCATATTCACTTCCTTTTTCTTCTTTCTTATTCTTCTTTTTTCGTCATCGTCTGCCTGACGACTTGCTTATTGAGACGGACAGACGGTCGTCCATATATAGTGAGTGATTTGAAAGAAGAGACAGAATCGTCACAGCATACATACATACTTACTCTTATCTAAATCTTAAGGAGTGTACGTGTATTTTAATAATGTGGTGGAGTATGTCATTTATATTCTATAACGTAATTTAATTTTTAAATAAAAATTTTTAGACGATCGTCAAACTCCCAATAATAATAATAATCATAATCATAATAATAACAATATTCCGACAAGTGTTCTTTCATCAACAACAATAAATACAAATTCAACAACTATACCACCAACATTATCAATAATAAAAAATGAAAATTTTACAGAATGTCCTCAACTTGATCTTAATCTTAATTTACATCATCTTAATAATCCAATTCCACAACAATCTTATTCATCTCAACAACATTATAAATCTGATCAAAATGATGAAGAAGATGATGATGACGATGATATTGATCAAAATACTGATAGAAAAAGTGAAATATCTAATCGGTAATATTTTCGTATGCATAAATTTTTTTTAACACTAAAAAAAAATCTTTTCTTTTTAGTGTTCAAACATGTTTTCGTGATCGTGAAATTCATAATCAATTAGAAAAACATCGGTAAGTTGCGACCTCTATTCTTATCATCCGTAAAATAAAAAATCCCTTTCAATTGAAAAATCTTTCTAAAGTTTCAAAATAAATAAAAAAAAAAAAACAACGTAAAAATGAAGCACTTCATAAAATTCTCATTGGATAGCTATAGTCAGGTGTATTAAATAGTGGAATAAAAATTGTATTATCACTATCTTTTTTTCTTTGATGGTATCTCCAAAAGAAGCTCGAAGGTATTTTTCCGATAGAAAAAAAAATACTAAAGAATATTCAATCTTTCATTGTTTTTCTTTTTTAGACGAGCCCATCTAAAAGATTGCTTTGATACACTCAAAGCCGAAGTACCATGTCAACGAGATCGAAAAATAACAAATCTTCAAGTACTTAATATGGCTATTAAATATATTCAAGTAAAACCTTCTTGTTTATTTTCTTATAGAAAAAAACAACAAGATTTGTATATTCTATTAGGCTTTAACACGAAAAGAACGTGAATATGAACAAGAAATTGCTATATTAACATCGAATAATATTGATTTACAACGGCGTCTTGGTGTACTTAAAACTGAATTAAATTCCGAAGGACATGATGTTGATACATGGCTTGGTACATGCACAGACATTGATCGTTCAGTATCAACTTGTACAGCTTCTGAAGCTGAAATGTATCGAACATTTGATGATGATGATGATGATTTACACGTACCAAAGAAAAAATTAATTAATGGACATAATGATTTAGATACGAATAATAATAATAATAATGTTGGAATTAAAACGAATATAAACAATTCATGTGAGTGTTATACATTTGCTGTTTGCTAAATATGTGCTTTGCTTTGTTTTGTTTGCAAATAAATAGCGATAAACAAAGAAAAACAAAATAATGCTTTGCTGCTTAATTATAATTAATATTGTTCTTTTTTTTTTGTTTCAAACAGAAAATTCTTTTTTTTAATTTCTTCAGATACAGTCGATTCGAAAATCATCTCATTAAATAATCGAAAAAATACAACACGTCAAAGACCAAAATCATCAAAACGAAAATTAGCATCAATACCAACAACAAATTTATTACAAACATTATCAACATCAATACCAACACGTTCAGAAAACTTACTTGATTATGATATGGCAAGACATCTTCATCTTGATCAACCATGTAATTTATTAACAACAATTAAAGATAATTTATCAACAACAACATTAACGCCAATAACTGATATACGATATGAAATTGTAGATATGTTTACAAAAGGTACAAGTTCACATTTACAACAACAACAGCATCATCAACAAGTTTCGCCATTACCGTCCATAGCTAGTCTTATGAATAGACATTCATCACCGGTCGTTTCACCAACAAAACAAACTATTGGTATTAATACAGATCCATTAACAACATCGACAACAAACATTCTACATCAACCTGTTGCTACATCGTGATGATGCTGTTTTCGCTTCTTCTTTGCTTTTTCTCTTCTTAGTTTGTCTTCTAATGTTTTAATTCTTTTTCTTTCTTTCGAAGTATGCATATTCATATATATATATATACATATATATATATATATATCAGTGCCATCAGAAAAAATAAAATGAACTGTAATTATATAAAAAAAACAAAAGGATATGAAATGTTTAATTAGTTTAAGAGAGACAAAAAAAACATTCGAATTTATCAATAACTAAATATTTATATAACTTTATCGTGAAAACGGAAGAAAAAGAGAGGAGTGCACTGGCCGGGAATCGGACCCGGGTCGCCCGCGTGGCAGGCGAGCATTCTACCACTGAACCACCAGTGCTTGATATCAGCTGACGCATATTTTCTTTTTCTCCTTAATGAATGACAAATATTGACAAGAAATTTTTTTTTAAACTTTATTTTTACAACAGAACAATTTATCTAATAAGTGATTCTCGTATTGATTAATGAGCCTTTATAAAAATTAGATTGAAATAATATTAAAATCATTACACAGGTCTCAATATGGTGATGATAATGATGAATATTTCACTTCCATAATTAGTTATTGATGTCGAAAACGAACGAATAAGTGATGAATATGAAAGAGAGTAACACTAAAAATTAATTGTGTTTATATTCAGTCAGGTTTTTTTGCTACAAAAGTAAAATATCGACAACAAGAGTGAAAACTATTAATATCTCTATGAAATAGGAAAGTTAAAAACTACCCTTTGGATTATAATATAGCCTTTATTATATGGTTGCAGAATATTTGAAAAACAAATTTTGCATATACCATTTTTCTATCTTACTTATAGTTCTATGCTCGACGTTTATAATTACGAATTGTTAATCATTACATTTGCCCTTTTCGTTTTGTCTTCTTTTTCTCTTCTCACGATAAGAATAAAAATAGTTATCTGATAACATTGTATACCTTTTAAGGTGCGAAGAAGCCAACATATATCATTTTCTTTTGCTTGTCTTGACCTAGCATGCCGTCAAATAGATATTCTTCACAATTAACTCAAGACAAAGCATATGGAACAGCTCAAGCTATGCTCTATGCTACAGGTCTTACTGAACCTGATATGGCTCGAGCTCAAGTTGGTATTGTTTCAATGTGGTACGATGGAAATCCATGCAATATGCATTTAGCTCGTTTAGCTAATTGTGTACAAACATCAATGCGTGAATCAATCGATCAAAACAATCTTGTCGGCATGCGTTTTAATACAATAGGTGTTAGTGATGCTATATCTATGGGTACAGCGGGTATGTCATATTCTTTACCATCACGTGATTTAATTGCTGATTCAATTGAAAGTGTTATGAGTGCACATTGGTATGATGGTCTTATAGCAGTACCTGGTTGTGATAAGAATATGCCTGGATGTATTATTGCAATGGCTCGACTTAACCGTCCGGCATTAATGCTTTACGGTGGAACAATTGGAGCTGGGCATACAACGTTAGGTCCATGCACTCGAACTATTGATATTGAATCTACGTTTGAAGTTTATGCACAATATGTTAAAGGAGAAATTAGTGATGAAGAAAGACAAGATGTTGTACGACATGCTTGTCCCGGCGAGGTGTATAATTTTCTTTGAAATTTCATCATTTTGAATTTTCTTTTATAGGGAGCATGTGGTGGTTTATATACTGCTAATACAATGGCTGTAGCTATTGAATCCATGGGTCTTTCATTACCATATAGTTCATCAACACCTGCTGCTGATCCACTTAAATTAGCTGAATGTAAACGAGCTGTAGAAGCAATACGTGTATTACTTGAAAAAGATATTAAACCAAAAGATATTATGACTCGAAAAGCATTTGAAAATGCTATTACTGTGGTAAGTAATTATTTTACTATTGTTATTTCTTTATGTTGAACAGTTTTAATAGACAAATGCTCTTGGTGGTTCAACTAATTCTGTACTTCATTTAATTGCTATGGGTCATGCAGTTGATGTTTCAATAACTTTAGAAGATTTTCAAGAAATTTCTCGTCGTACTCCATATATTGCTGACCTTCGACCATCTGGCAAATACCTTATGGCTGATTTACATTCAATTGGAGGAACACCTGCTGTACTTAAATATTTACTTTCACAAGGTAAAATTCATGGTGATATAATGACAGTTACTGGAAAAACACTTGCTGAAAATTTGGCTGAATGTCGTGATTTGGGTTTTATCGAAGGAATACCATCGACTGTACGTCAAGGTCCTGGCCCAGGTAATCAAGATCTTATTCATTCGATTGATCGTCCATTAAAAGCAAGTGGTCATCTTCAAATTCTTCGTGGTAATTTAGCTCCTGATGGTGCTGTTGCTAAAATAACTGGTAAAGAAGGTCTTTGGTTTGAAGGTCAAGCACTTGTCTATGATAGTGAAGAATTAATGCTTGAAGGTTTTATTCGTGGAGATATTCGTAAAGGTTCTGGTATGAAATATGTTATTGTCGTTCGATATGAAGGTCCTCGTGGTGGTCCTGGTATGCCTGAAATGCTTAAACCAACAGGAATGATTATGGGTGCAGGTCTTGGTCAAGATTGTGCATTAATTACTGATGGACGATTTAGTGGTGCATCACATGGATTTATTGTTGGTCATATTTGTCCAGAAGCAGCTGTTGGAGGACCTATTGCTTTAGTACAAAATGGTGATACTATTTCAGTAAAACTAACAACAAATGGAGGTCATGGTACACTTAATTTACACGTGACTGAAGATGAATTAAATGAAAGACGTATGAAATGGGAATTACCTGCTAAAGCCAAAATACCTAAAAAAGGATATTTACGAAAATATGTACAATGTGTACAATCAGCATCGAATGGATGTATTACCGATGGATAAATATTTTATTAGAATGATAAAATAAATTAGAACTTCATTTGTAGAAAATAGTTTTTTTTTAATAAATGATAATTGTTTTAAAATTTTGTATTGAGCACGAATCAATCATATAAAATAATCTGTTGTCGAAATTTTCAGTTTTTTTTTCAAAATAAATTATTTAATGAAATAAAAAATAACTATATGTAGAAGTGAAGTAGTGTGCTGTAAGAATGCGACTTATTGCAACCAGAGCTAATCGACATCCGGTAGATATTTTCACAGTATGATTTTCAAACGTTTATTTTATGCGTAAAATGTAAACTATTTAGGTTCTTCCACAAATGGCCACAAAAACAAAAATGAGGTCATCCGAAATTTCATAAAAAAACCAGTAATTCTGAATTTACTCGATGTTTTTCTGCTTCTAAAATCCAGTCAATTTCGCTAAGTATTCGTTTGTTTATTGGTGATAACGCTGATATGGAACACAAAGTTAGTACTAAACGTGATAATTTTGAATAACATACATGAATGCTTTTCCCATTACGATAATATATGTTCACTAATTTTGAAAATTCATTTTCCTCTTCGTGTATGCAGGTTAGTATCCTACGGAAGTCGAGAACGGAAACGATATTAAAAAGGGACGTTTGCGAAAATCATTTCCTTTTTATGTAAATACTCTCCAAACTTTTCTCTGTCAAACAAAAATGAGATAAGTTCATTGATTATTCATTAAACTATAATTCAACTATCACAATTCTCATTTTCTTTGCGATTATTAATTTCAAAAGGACTATTATTCAGATTATCTTCTTTCGGTGAATGCTTTCGTTTCCCATCGGTATTATTGATGTGTTACTGTTAGTCGTTTTTTTTTTCTTTTCAATTTTTCTATTGATGAAGGAAATAATTCTCTCGACTTAACGCTGATGAATTTTGATGTGTAAATAATAATTGATTTATTTTACTAAAATATACTTCGAATGATACTTTTATTTGTAACTCAAGACTATCTCGTACTCTATAAAGTGCGATATTGACAGAAGCTAATGTCTAAGATAATAATTTTTCTCAAGCACGAAATCAGAATTCAAAACTTTAATATTGGATGCATTTTGTTGGGTGTACACATATCCAGTTAATGAATATTAATGAAAGTCTAAAGTACTTTTATACTTTGAATATTTCAAATAGTGATTGTACAGAATTCAACTATTGTTCTGAAATATTTGATGCAGCTTTAATTGTTTCGTCTTTAAAATAGGATTCCAAGAGAATCTTGATCAGTTTTGAAAAAATTTTCTCGATTTCATACATTCACGTTATTAAGTATATTATAATATTCTAAATATAGATGTTGTTAGAACTTCTATTTATATTGATTATATGGATGTGTGCAGTCAATAAAGATGCATCCAGTGTTAATATTTTGAATGCTGAGAAGTAAACTAACATGAAAATAAAAATTTGCTTGCAATACACTACACTAAAGATCTTTATTGTCTGTTAAGTGACACCATCTATTATTTCTTCTGATTGGTTTGTTTTCTTTCTTAGATTTGTCCATCAAATAATAACGATTTTTTATTTCACTTTGTTCTGTTTTTTCTTGTTTACTAGTTCTAATTATACCAAGAATCTATATATTTTAGATGCTTGTTCGCAAGTTATTTAATCGGCAATCATTTGCCATTTCATCTTCTATTCTTGGCCGTTGTATTTCGACAAGTTCTTACCGTTTAGCTTCGGATAAAGAATTTGTTCATCGTGATACACCACACAATAATCCTGATATTAAATTTGATTTTACAGCTGAAAATTATAAACGAGTTGAATCCATTCTTTCTATGTATCCTGAAGGACATAAATCAGCAGCTGTTATTCCTTTACTTGATCTTGCACAACGACAACATGATGGGTGGTTACCACTTGCAGCAATGAATAAAGTAGCTGAAGTTCTTAAAATGCCACGAATGCGTGTTTATGAGGTATATTTGTTTTTTTTAGAAACTAAGAAAATATTTTACTCGTGTTTTTTTTTCTTCAATTTAGGTTGCAACATTTTATACAATGTTTAATCGAAATCCAATTGGAAAACATCATATACAAGTATGTACAACAACTC